TTTGGTCTTTTTGAGACAGGGTCTCCCTATAGCCCCAGCTGGCCTGGAACTCGCTATATAGACCAGGCTGAACTCACAGAGTGCCTGGTATTAAAGGCATGTGCCACCACACCCAGCAACATATACTATCTTTAATCCTTATAACTGTATCTCTTCAGGAAATAAAGGCATAAAAAATTTATTCAAGCCATTTCAATTTGCTCCAAGTTCCAATCCCTCTACCTCTGGGTCCTCAGCTGATAGCCTTGTCTCCTCTTTTAGAGAATTTACCCTCTTGTCATCCACTGAGCCACGCCCATCCCCTTCCCATTTTGCTGTCTTCCTGTCACTTGTTTCTGGTGCAGCATCATGACTGTTCCAGATCTCTTTGATCTCACAACAGACCTGAAGCTCTGCTAGGCTTGGAAGGACTGCTGCCAATGGATGCAAGTTGAGCCACCCTTGAGGAGCCTGAAGACAAAATTGGAGCTGCCTGTGGGCAACTTGAACTTCTGTAGCCAGATTTACTATGGGGCTACAGATTGCTTCCTGAGCATAGTACCAACCCCCAGAAAGTGAGGACAAGTAACATACATTCTGCCCAAAAGTACCTGAAATGGCCAAGCAGTTGTCCAGGCCTGGAGCCCAAGTCACTCGCAACAGCTCTGGGTCAGGGCTAGGTGTGGGCACTGGGCACTGTGCTGAGCTCACAGGATGGCAGAGATTCCGGGGGTCAAGGAGACGAAGCTGCCCGTCTGAGCCAAGGCTGGCGATGCAAGGCCCAGGACCTTGGTCCTTGTCCCTAACTTTGGCACACCATTTCACTCCACTAGACCCAGGGTTGAGGCTCAGAGGCTCCATCGGTGCCCACTTCTGGCGGGTATCCACAAGCCCCAGCCGGCCTGAAGTGCCACAGAAAGCAAAGGTGTCTGCATCCAGGACCTGCAGGCTACTCAGCTCCTCACTGTCACTGACACCTGGAAGACCAAAGGCAAAGAAGGAAAGGTGCTGCAGTCTGGTGGGTCTAGCAATGTAGCAGGATCGGTTGGTGGCACCAGTCCCAGGCAGAATGAGTCATGCTTCCCCCCTTTCCTTCATCTTGTCATGGTCTGCTCTGCTGGGTGGGTGCCGGGTCCTGGAGGCCAGAGTTTGCACTTTATTCTCCACATTTCCCAAGCATCTGGAACAAAGGCCTGAGCTATGTCTGGAACATGGCTTGGCTGGGCTGAGGGATGGAGCTGGCTGGAGGAGCCAGCAAAGGACACACTGCTGTAGTACCTGAGCTGTATGTGATCTTCTGGGATTCCAGATCCACAGTCCTCAGGCCACTGAGCCGCACCCCATGGAGGACTGCAGGTGCCATAGAGGAGAAGACAGCCACCCGAGGCCATAGACTCTCCTCTTTCTCATGTACAGCAATGGTGCTGACAGCTTTAATGACATCTGAAGAAAAAGAGGAAGAGGCTGAAGTGCAGACTGTCAATGGGGGCTGACCACACATCTCCCAACATTTAGAAGATCAAGGAAGACAGGGAACTAAGGACTGGTGAGAGAATGTTGAGATAAACACCTTGGATTATATTTATGTTTCTGAACCTGTCAGAATCACTTTAATTTCTTTATAATTTGTCTTATGAACTAAATGGGAGATGATGAGTCATTGTGGCCATCTTGAAACATCCCACACAGTTCTGACTTTTTGTTCTTTGGTGGAGACAAATAGAGGAAAGGGAAAGAAATGAACGCATTGCTGAAGTCAGTTACACCTTCAGCGAAAATTACAAGAACAGAGTTCATGAACTAGTAATGCTTCTTCTAAAAAATGTTCTGTGACTTCAAGCAACTTGCCAAAACCTGGTAATGAAAGGTTAACTGCAGATGTCACTAACTCACAACATAAAACAGGAAACAAGGGTTACTTTATACCAAATGGAACAAAGACATACCTGGCTGCAAGTCAAATAAAAATTTCGGTTTTGGGTTGTTTTTTTTTTTCATCCTTTATATAATATTAATTTATTTTTATTTTATGTTTATGAGTGTATGGCCTGCATGTATGTAAATGCATGAAATACCTGTGGAGGTCAGAAGAGGGCACTGGATCCCCTGCAACTGGAGTTAAGGATGGTTATTAGCTGCCATGTGGGTGCTGGGAACTGAATCCAGGTCCTCTGTTAAGAGCACTCAGCTCTTAAACCCTGAGCCATCTCTCCAGCCTCATAATTAATTTTTTAAATTGTGTGTGTATGTGTGTGTACCATAGTGCACACGTGGAAGTCAGAGGACAATCTATAGGAGTCAGTTCTCGCCTCTCACCATGTGGGTCCTGGGAATCAAATTCAAGTTATCAGGTTTGGCAGCAAGTGCCATTACCTGCCAAGCCATCTTGCCAATGCATGTTTTTTTCTTCTTCAGGATTTATTTTCTTTTTATGTATATGAATGTTTTGCTTACATGTATGTTAGGTGTACCAGGTACATGCCTGGTGCCTGCGGAGGCCAGAATAGGGTGTTGTATCCCCTGGAACTGTAGTTAAAGATAGGTATTAATTGCTATGTGGGTGATGGGAACCAAACCCAGGTCACCTGAATGAGCAGTAAGTACTCTTATCTGCTGAGCCATTTCTCCAGCCCCATTTTCTTTTTTGATTTCTTTCTTTTTCCTTTTTTGGGTTTTTGAGACAGCATAGCCTCAGCTGGCCTGGAACTCACTATATAGACCAGACTGACCCCCATCTCACGGAGATCTACCTGCCACCACACCTGGCTGTTTTTCTCTTTTTTGGTCTTTTTGAGACAGGGTCTCCCTGTAGCCCCAGCTGGCCTTGAATTCATAAAGATCCACCTGCCTCTGCCTCCCAGGTGTGTGCCACTGTGCCCAGCTTTTCTTTTCTTTTTCTTTTCCTTCCTTCCTTCCTCCCTTCCTTTCTTTCTTTCTTTTTTTGGTCTTTTTGAGACAGGGTCACTTTGTAGTCCCAGCTGTCTTGGAACTCACTGTGTAGACCAGGCTGCCCTAGAACTCACAGAGATCTGCCAGCCTCTGCCTCCCAAGGGCTGGAACTACAGGCATGTACCACCACACCCGGCTTTCTTTTCACTTTTGAGACAGGGCCTTACTATGTAGTCATGGCTGGTCTCAAACTTGATTCTCCTGCCTCCACCTCCCAGCTGGATTACAGGCATACTCCACCATGCCCAGCTAAGTTTAAGTTTTTGTTACAGCCTGCCTGATTGCAGACTGGTTCTCCTCTCTGTAGTTTTAGTCTCACTTTGTCTCAGTCTACTTGGTTAACAGGCTGGTTCTCATCTCTATATTCTACATCCTTTGATGCCATTCATAACAGTTTGGAACAAGTCGTTTGCTGTACAAACTACTTAAAGGGGAAATTCTCATTTTATGTTTTATATTTTCTTTTTCCAAAAGAGGGCTCACTTTTTGATTATCTGAAGACGAAGATCTCTGTGCCTTTTCAGTTCTAAAGTACAGGCATTGGTGGATACAGTGAGAGAATGGATGTGAGAAGGGCACACAAATGGCTTAGCAAGTGTATGGCATCAAGTTCTCTCCAGACAGTTCCCTGCACCACAGGTAGAGGGACATGATGGGGTCCCAGGCCATGGTACTCTCTGGGCACTTCACCAAGACTTCTAACCACAGGAGCTGCAGTGCTTGCAGCAGACACAAAAGCTGAGCCACAGGGCCTTAACTGGTTTCTGGGAAGGCCCATGAGGAGGCTGTAGCAGAAGCTGCTCCAGCACAGCCTGCCTGCTCTCATGGGAGACACTTCCCTTTCCTCCCCTTCCTGACTCCAAAGAGCCTGAACCCAGTTCTCTCAGGACCTGCTGCTCTGAGCCACCTTATCAGCTGCTGGGAGGAAGCTACTTCACAGGTTCAGTATGGGTTGAAATATAGCTCAGTGGTAGAAAACTTGTCTGGCATGTCTAAGGCCCTGGGTTCCCTCTCCAACACTGCAATAAATAAATTTAATCAATTAATTACTTAATTAAAATCAGAATTGGGTGGGAGCTAGAGAGATGGCTCAGCAGTTAAGAGCACTGCTGCTCTTGCAGAGAACCCAGGTTCTTTTCCCAGCATGTACAACATGGCAGCTAACAGCCTCTGTAACTCCAGTTACAGAGGATCCAATATCTGCTTCTGACTTCCATGGACGCTGAATGACATGGGAGCACTTACATACATGCAGGCAGTACCCTTACACACACACACAATAATGAATAATAAATAAAATCAGAATTGGAGGTGGCTGGAGAGATGGCTTAGCAGTTAAGAGCACTGATTGCTCTTGCAGAGGACCCAGGTTCAATTCCCAGCACACATGTGGAGGTTAACAACTATTCGTAACTCCAGTTCCAGGGGATCTGACATCTTTTTCTGACCTCTGTGGGCATTGCACAATACAGGTGCACTTACACATATGCAGGCAGTACACTCATACACATAAAATAAAAATAATACACCGGAAGTGGTGGTGCATGCCTTTAATCCCAGCACTCGGGAGGCAGAGGCAGAGGGATCTCTGTGAGTTCAAGGTCAGTCTGATCTACATAGTGAGTTCCAGGCCAGCTGGAGCTACAGGGAGACACTGTCTTGAAAAGACTAAAAAAAATAAATAATTTTTTTAAAAAATCAGAATTGGGTCTTGGGGGCTGGACAGATGGCTCAGCAGTTAGGAACACTGGCTGTTCTTGCAGAAGACCCAGGTTCGAATCCCAGCACCCACATGGCAGCTAAGAACTGTAACTCCAGTTCCAGGGTATCCTACAGCCTCTTCTGTCCTCCGTGTGTATTGCGTGACACAGGTGCACTTACCTGCATGCAGTAATTTTTTTAAAAAATCAGAATTGGGTCTTGGGGGCTGGACAGATGGCTCAGCAGTTAGGAACACTGGCTGTTCTTGCAGAAGACCCAGGTTCGAATCCCAGCACCCACATGGCAGCTAAGAACTGTAACTCCAGTTCCAGGGTATCCGATGCCTTCTTCTGACCTCCTCAGACACTGCATGACACAGGTGAACTTACATACATGCAGGCAATACATGCACACACACACACACATAAAATAAAAATAAAAAATAAAAT